TGAAAATAAAAAATTTCAACACATTTAATCATGATTTTATTAATTTTTTAATTACAGAAATCTATAAAAAAAATTATCCAGTACTGGATAAAAATATCTCATTTATTTCAAAGTATCGAGTTATATCAGAACCAATTAGATCAGATAAATATTTTTCGAAAATTTTCAGAATTTACAAATTTTCTTTTTAAACAAAAAAAAAATGACTCGACCGAATGTTATGTAGGTAATCCTTTTCAGATTATATTACCGTTAATACGCTTTGATCAGCACCTCAACGAAGTCGATATTATTTTTTGTTCGCGCAATATCAATCAAGATACGTACGTATGAATGTTTTACCTTATCTGTATACAGATAAGGTAAAATGTTTACCAAAAATAAAACTTACACATTTTTTCGTCTGTATTTTTGCTAAAGGTATTTGTACCAATTTTCGAAAAATAATGCCTCATTTGATAACTGCAGTGTGTAATACAATACCCGTATGTTCGGCTATCAACTCGTTATTAGTGTGCACTACTTTATGTTTGGATCTCTTTATGTATAAGTTGCCTTGATTTGTACTAGTTCGATTACTTTTTTGTGCTTTCCCGTTTTACGTATTCAAATATGGTTCTCCGAAAATACTGGTACGACCGTTTTAGAAGCCAGACATGCCCTTTATTCGATAGAAACCAATCTTTTTCATATTGCCTTCTCTAGGAGCAATTTTTCTTGCTTAGAAAATAAGCCTTTCATTGCACCAAATCCGTCTGCAACCTACATAGGTACATATACGTGTACACATTTAAAGCCAGCTAGTGAAACGTGCTACGTATCTATTTGGTCTGTTAATGTGCGATAGAGCCTTATTAAAGTCGAAATACAGGAACAAAAGGAAAACTGGAACAAAAAATGCGCAAATGGTTGCTTATTACTGACAAACAACTGACAAGTAAAACATCTAATTAGTTGTCGTATTTACTCAATTACCACGGGATATTTGTTGAAACTTCCAGTCCGTCTGCAAATAATAATGCGGCGTGTTTTAAAAAAATTATTATCCAGTTAACTTCAGTAAGTAACTACGTTTATTCCAAACCCTTTAACTCTAACTTCTATAACTCGTTCAAGTAGGAATTTTATATAGCTGTTTCTGAAGAAAGATAATTCATTCGTCTATTAGACGTACCTTCAAGCATTGTATGTTAACGATAAATGAACAATTTCTATGTTATTATAAAATTCTATTTCATGGAAGTTGACAATCGTTTTATGCTACGGATTCTTTAATTAAACGCTCTGCCTATTTGTCCAATGTATCTTCGCCTTCACATTCCAGATTTTAATTCCTTGTTTGATAAACTATAACTTTATCCGGAACCTTTGTTTTTACTGAATATGATTATGACGTAAATTGTAATTTAGTTTGTTTTGAATAAATAAGGCTAAACTTTTCCAATTTATACGTAACAGATAGGTATGCACAAATTAAAGTTACGAGATGTTAAGCCTTTGTTAAATCAAATACCTGTAGGTAAAATAATAGTCGGCAAGAATACGTTAGATACAAGTATTACCTTATACAAAAACTAGTTTGTTATTCTGTTCAATATACACCCACCTATCATATTTTCAAAGAAAATATACATTGATTTCTAAAGACGTCTAAGTAGAAACGTGTATATTCTGAAGCCATTTTCGTGTTAAAGTAATTTTGTTTTCCTATCGCCTAGAAATTACGTTATTTATTGATATTTTCAAACCCACTATGGGTACTATACACAAAGTGGGGTGCTGAGTATTTTCCCCAAAATCCCTACTGTGAAATGAATTAAGTTTATGACGAGTTCGTAAAATGTATTTGTATAAAAAACAATCGACGTTTCGCCTACTAGTGCGTGATTTTCCGATGTAGGTTTTATTATTATAGATGATGTCAGATTAAAATGTGGCATTTTGTGTGATGTCCATATCGGTATAATTTCTACATAAAACAGTAAATAATTAATACATTATTTCTATCAACAGTATAAATAAAATTTTGAGCAACGTGTAGAAAATTTCAACTTTATCAGATTTATTAAAGCATAAGATAATGATCGAATAATTAGATATTATGAATACCAAGAAGTGGTATGGTGAGTCAGTTTCCAATTCATCTCTATTTCGTAGAAAGTTTCCTTTTTGGCATTTTTAAAGAAATTGAAAGAAAATTATTAATTACGACGTGACTTGTTTTTCTAATTTTATTTATTTCCGTAACATCCTCCCTCTTATTTACTTACTTAACATTTTTTAATCAAAAATAAAAATGAAACGGTATAAAAATAGCATCCATTTAGCATTTCTCACAAATTCAAATTGCTATTAATTAATTTTAATGACGGAAGTAAGTAAGAAAACTACCCCAATAAAAATATTCAAACAAACTTGGAAAAGATACTTACCTGACTAAAAACGTAGGAGTTCTCCGTTTAATATTTAAAAAAGTCGTGTTGGGTATGAAAATATATAATAATTATTTAATACCTATAAAATTAAAACTAAAATACTAGTATGCAAGGGAAGAAAAANGTAGGGAAAGAGCAAATATAAAGATAGGAGACGAAAAATTAGAAGAAGTGGCTGATTTTAGATACCTAGGAAGTCAGATAAGTGAGGATGGAAGGAGTAGTAAGGATATAAAGCAGAGAATAGCGCAGGGTCGTGTCGCCTTTAATAAAAAGAAGTCACTTCTATGCTCGCGAACGGTTAATTTAGAAATTCGAAAAAGGTTGTTAAAGGTGTATGTTATATATTAAACAAAAATATGGTAAAAAAATATTTCTTTATTTTAAACATTGCTCTAAATATATATTTGTTCTTTTAGTTTATTATACGTGCTTTTGTAACCTTCATATATAAGAAAAAATATAACAGAATGAGGTCCTAAACGAAAATAAAGAGGTCCTAGTCCTTTATAGAATGCCAAAGGGCCTTCCACCCTGTATATTTTTATTAAGCAATCAAAAAATCCATTGTAAAGGAGACCCCTGCCGTGAGCATCCACTCCTGTAAAACAAACCGTAATTAATCGTTCTAAAAATTGCTTTTTTATAATCGATACTTTTCCCTCCACCAGATAATATAATAAGACGCGTTTTATTTTGAACACCTGGTATACGTTTAGTAAAGTTAAATTAAATCGATTTAATCGGTAGACGGTGAAATACGGCGTGGCATTGTGAACAATTTAATCGTTTCGAGATTAAGCGGATTGTTATCAGCGAATCCACGAGTCGTATGTATTGGTTCGATCCATTCCATCAGTGCGTCATCGTCATAGTCCTGATGTAGGATGCGAGTTCCTATATCCGAACGATAAGTTGGCTTTTTTATTCGAAATATACATTAACGTTGAACCCCAAGTTCAAAAACGATTGGATGAGAATGAACTCGGGCGTCTTATCTTTTCTAAAGTAAAGTGGAAGGCAGGTAAAAAGTCTTTTAACAAAAAATCTGATTCTTTTATCGTTGAAACCTTAACGCCAAAATACCGGATAGCTTAAAGCTATGAGTTGACTTTATTTATACTTCGTTTGTTTGTTTCTTTGTTTGTTTGTTACGATTTCACACCTTAACTACTCAACCGACCATCATGAAATTTTGTACACACATTGTCAGTGATACAGAAAGGGATACAGGGTACCTTTTATCCAGAAGGGATAGAAAATTTTGTTTTATATCGTCGTGGATGATCTTTGTCACGTATTTAGGACATCAGCGCAACTGAAGTGCAGTTAGATATAAATGTCAGAAAAATACAAATAACACTTAGATTTGCAGAGGAATCGAAAACAGAACTGGGCAAAGCCTTCGCCAAAAAGGTTTCAAACCTTAAGCAAAAAACTTTACTTAAAGTGCTTAATTCCTTGAAGCCCCGATTTAAAATCCAAGGGTTTCGAATTACTAATTATTACGAAAGCAATTGGATTCAAATCATTTTAACGGTTCTTTAACCATTTTGAAAGAGCTTGAATGCTTGAATTACAAATTAAAAGGCATTTTTATGAAGTAATTTATTTCTAAGAACCAACTAAGTGTTTACGAAAGGATTTTAAGAAGACTTGCTGAGGATAGCAAGGAATAGAAGTGTGTGTCCAACGAGTCTTTTGACTGAGGACTAGAATGATGCATAAGTAATAAAAATAGAACAATGAGGATACCGTGGTTAGAGAAGGTTAGAAATGAAGAGGTATTATTAAGAATAGAAGAACTGAGGACTCTATGGAAGTCAATAAAAAAAATACCTTCACATGCATGAAGATCTATTCAGAGATATATTAGAGGCAGAAATAGGAGTTAAGAGGAGTAGAGGCAGACCTAGATTAGATTACTGTTCGCAAATAGTTAAGGATGTGGGATTTTAGAGAAATGTGAAGGTTAGCTCTGGATAGGAAGGAGTGAATGTGCGTGTCCGACCAGTCTTAGGACTGACGACCTTATGATGATGATAAATTCAAATATTTATTGCGTTCGAATAAAAAAAGATTTCATTATTATTTAAAACTACCAATTCTATATAGAAAAAAACAAGGGGTTAGGGTCCTACCTTGGTTATAGAGGCGTGTGAGTATGAGGTCAAACGGTTGCATGGTCACACTGATTGCTATCCCTCCGACCATTCCCGCGACAAAAGTTTTCGCAATTGGCGATTCCCTGAAATATTCGTAATTATTAAGCCATTGCTTCGTATAATAGAAGCTGGTCAGCTGTGAGATAGAACCCGCGAGTGCTCTAGGTACCGATGCAGCAGCTCCCCGAAATAAACCCCTCACCTGCAAAAGGGACCAAATCAATAAAAGGGATCGCCTACCACTGAACGCTCTCATCATTACGACCAATTAGATCGTCAACTTAAAAATTACATTATTCTATAATTTTCTTCATTTTATTTATTAGCATTTCTTCAGTGATATAATAATACAAACTCCGAGTTCAGCCCAGAGTTTAACTCGGTTCTCTCAATCCCTTCAGAATTTCTCTCTGCAACAGTGAAAACTTCGCGAAAATTTATTGCTTTGAGTTTTTGAGCAGAAAACTACTTTTACAAAAACCTATCTATAACATCACCATCAATAAGTTGAAAATGTGTTTTATACTTAAAAGAAGTAAGTAATTCTACCCAGAGCTAGGTAGAGCGTAAGTGTTTTGTGTTTAAAAATGTGCTTCACGCCCTTTCGAGGCTTAGAAGCATTATTTACATAAATGTTTTCTAATATGGAATTCAAAGGACTTCAAGTTCATTCAAAGTTTTTCAAACGGTTTGGAATTCAGTACTATAAGCCCTGAAAGAAATGGAAGTACATTTTCAAACACAACACAAAGCACTAAAGCATTGCTCAGCTGTGACTTTCAGCAGAGACTCCCAGCCCTAAGCCCAAAGCCCTTACATAGGTGTTAGCCTCAATTACTAATTACTTCGGGAGCAATTAAATTCAAATCCCAAAGCTCGTTCAAGCACTTTTCATGCCCTAACAGGACTAAATGCACATTTCTAAGCACAAAGGCTTGAGAATTTTTTTCGAAACAAAACACATTTCTCAGCATGTCGTCCGAAGCAGGAGCGAATCTACTTAAGGGCTTTTTGGACTACAGACCCTGCAAACGGCCCCCAGCCTCCGTTGAAAACGATAGACGATATTGTGAAGAAAAAATTTTTCTAAAATTAAAAAGAATCGGATCATAAGGTTAGCAACCCGGCGATCAATCAACCCGTATGCGCGTCTATTGAATTGAACTGGGAATTCCCCGTCACCTGTTTCCGGTCAGTGTATTTTCTCGCGTGTGCGTCTATTATAGGGTACTTCCCGCCGCTAATCGCCCGATGCAATTTTGTTTTTTTTTTCGCACTTTGCTTTTCGTCGACAATGTAACAAATTGACTTTGTCATTGTTAAAACGCTTTAAACTATTTTATTGCCCCATTTTTTTGCTATACAGTATACCTGCATCATTATAGACAACAGTTTTTTGACAAGTGCCCTTAAGTAGTGTATTAACCCAGGGTCCTACAAATTCAGGATTCGCCCCTGGTTCATAGAAATGAAATATACTTGTAATAAATAGTGTCATAAAAGATTTGTTCTTGTGCACAACACTTTTTTGCACAGCAGATACTTACCCCATGTTCATGAAAAATAGTTTTGAATGCGTCTAAAGTGCCCCTATGTTCGTGTTGATGACCCACTGCGATGGCTTTTGCTGCCTGTGACTGCAAATGTGTTTTGACCATATAAAATGGACTGGCTAAACACTGACCCATTATTCCACCAAAGCCACTAAATACAACAGACTTCCAAAAAATTGTTTTACCGTCCTTATCAGTTATAAAACCTCTAGCGAGAAAAAATTCGTAAAAACCTGAAATACACAGTGAATCGGCTCCCATATATTTTTTTCATATCAAAAAATATTTCTACCAAATCTAGATCCGTTCATTAAAAACTGCATCCACATTGTGGGAATTACGCCTTTTTGAAGGGCTCGAAATCCTTCTGTTTTCGAAATAACATAACCGGCATGAACAAAATTTTTAAAATGTATCACAGCTTCCCCTTTTGCCATAAGCTCACCCTGCAGTTGCATTCTTGTTTTAATTACTTCCAGTGGGTTTGTTATGGCACCAGCAGTTGCTGCGCTTGTAGCTGCCATTATAAACTCCATTATTATATACAGACGAACCTTTAAAAATATTGTATTAACTTTTCAAAGTATTAACTTTAATTTTAACTTTAAGTTAATTAAAAATATGTACCAGTTAAAACGCTTACACGTTACATTTTCTGAATTATTTCTACAAAAATGTTTACTTCTAT